GCTTTGTTTCACCCTACTTATTCATGAATCCTGATGCACAAGATCTGCGATAAAGTGATCAAATCCCCTTACTTTTCACACTGGCTAAGATGAGGGCACAAAGCCCATCTTTGATGTTCCCTTGAGTCAGCAAGACCTTAGGGAGTAAACAAAACCTCTTACTTGCAAGACACCACACATTTGACATAAATCAATTTGCATTGTTTCATCTACAGACATGGACACTAAAAGTGATACTTTATTACAACTGCCTCTTGGGAGCTGCCATGTAAAAAGAACTGCCAGTCCCTGACACCATTCATGGGGGAATAGGGACCCTCTCAAGTCCAGGCATCGTTTTGACTCGTTTCAGACAGAGTCACAGTGGGGTGGCGGGGGGAGCTCTTCTGGTCTACCTTTCCTCTCGCTTTAGAGATGAGAAACCCGCGGCCAGGAAGAGAACGTCACTCAAAATCATCAGGCTGGTGGGTGGCAGCAACACGTGGGGTCCTGCACGTGATCGTGCTCCCATATTTCTGGTTCTAAGCTCTGCTCTCCTGGCCTAATTCAACGGGTCTGAGCCCAGACAGAAAACCCTGGGAGATGCATTTTGAGCTTGGCAGATGTCCGCATTCCCCAAGGAGAGGTGAGCTACCCACCAGCCTCCTCTTGACGCTTGCCCCACATGTCAGAGGGATTGGGTTGATGGGCAGCAGCCCTGTGGCCCTCAGTCCCTCGTGTGTTACCAAAGTAGGCCAGACACACAGGGAAAACGTCCAGAGACCAGCCTCTGCAGCCCTTTACAATTTTTCTTTTGCTCTTACAGGTCCAGCGATGGAGAAACAGCACACTTGAATTTTTCATTCCCTGGAATATTCCTTCCTGATTAGCCTGCTCTTCTACTCCACTGGGAAATTCCAGCCCCTGCAACCCTTTCTCTTGGACAGTAACTTCGAACATTGTGAGAAGCACGGTTCTGACAGCCAACCCACCAAGCTCAAGGAAAAGAGGTGGGGTGAGGGCTATGCTCAGCATGGGTGTTCAACCGATAAGCTACCAGAAGTAGGGGCAGGGGGCAGGGGCTGGGCAAGTATTTTCCAGTTTCAGAGGACGGCCTTTCGTGGGACTGGCGACACCTGATTCTTGGTGGCTATTATTTCAAGCCAATGGAATCAAATTAGTTTTGTTATGAAGACTTTCTGAGCTTTGTTATCATGTCCCTTGAGACCATATAAAGAGGGTCCCAAACCAATATAAAGTAGAAACCATAGCCATGTACCACGGTCCATGCGTATGAACAACGGAGCCCAGGCTACTAAGAGAAATGTTTGGCTGGTTTGTGCATTTGACCTTATTCCTCCCCAAACCAAGTCTATGGCAAGGCCACATGACCGAGGACAGTCCCCTGAGTGACTTAGTCGAAGGAAGTATGAAGTGAAGCTGAACAGTTCTGACATTTAAATTGTCGTGGAGACAGGGTCCACAAGGGGCAGCCCGAATCCTCCTCTACTTCGCCATCGCTTTAAATAAGTCAAGTTGAAAACCCCAGCTGGTGAATAATGTTACTTTTCTATTTCTGATGGCTTCTTCCCCTGCCCCCCGCTTTGGGACAGTTGGGTAATGAGGTGGTGAGGGAAAATGGCTATGGCAAGGCCTTTAGGTTATGGACCCTTAGCCCTGTGGGGATCACTGAAGAGGCCAACGGGAAAGTTCTGATCTCAGCTCAAAGCAGACAGCTGTTCTCCAGACAGTCACCCTGGGAATACGACCAGCATGTGCCACAGTCTGGAAGTCTAGGCTCAGCCCATCTGTATCGTCATGACACTATCAGAAAAGGGGCCCCTCCTCGCAGTGGGGTTCCAGATCTCCCTACATCTCCATGGAGCAGGGTGAGTAACACCATCGCTATGGGCTTTCGGAGAAATAGTGCAGTAGATTGACCCAGTATGGTTTGGGACCTCCAGCTGGGAGGAGCAGAGCTCAGCAGCTTCTGCAGGGATGGAGGGCAATGACATCACGGAACGGGGTTTCATGACATGCAGCCACACATGGCCAGGCCAGCCAACCCAAGGACCTGTGCTTGGCGGTCGCCCCCTTACTCTTCTGTCATGGTCCCGGGGAGGCTGCCAGCTACGAGTTAAGAGCAAAACTCTCTTTGATTTATAACCTGAGTCTGGGCTAAAGCCTAGAGAAGGCATTTGGAATAAAAGAGAAATTTCTCCCTCCCCTTCTTAGATATATCGCTTTATGATTCTGTAGAGGGGAGGATGGGAGGGGCATCACTGTCAAAAGGAGCTAGCCATCTTTCACTCGGTTCTTTTCGCTAACCACAAGATAGACCATTTGTCATGTGAAACTGGAGACAGGAACGGGTATCGGGAAAGAACACATCTCGTGGCGCACATCTTGTTCTCTGCAAATAAAACACCTAGAAGGTTCTGAAGCCTCTGGGCTTGCCTAAGACCACATGTAAACCTCAGTTCACTCCAGTTCACATTTCTGGCTTGTGGGAGAGCGTCTCAACAGGCAAACAGATGCTTTTAAAGATTGAAGCTTAAAATATTTTTTTGCCTTCCAAACGACATTTCTGCCTTTTTGCCCAGATGAAGGGGTCTTTGCTCCGGGCCCTGGGAAGGGGGAGAGGAGGTGGGGTGGGGAGAATACCACCCGGCTCTCAGGTAGCTCCTGTTCTCCTGAGCAAATGGAAGGGTGGTTTCAAAACACAAGAAAAGGCAGAGAAACCGCCAGATTTTTGGAGTGTAATTTACTCCACCAGTGGGATGTGGATGCGGGGAGTCAGGTTGCAATCAGGCAGAGCCCAAGTGTTCTTTAAGAAAATGTTCCCTATTTTTGTGTGCCTTGGCAAACTCGGGGTGGAATGCAAGGGTTGCCATAGCAACATAATCCCCCCCCCTTTCTTTTACAGATTGGTCACGTGGGACCCACGCACATTCTGGAAGCCACTTCTAATAGTTCCCATGCTGGGTCCTGTCTGGGGGCTCTGTCTGCGTCTGGAGTGATAGGAGACAGCTTGCTGTGGGGCCAAGGGGATCAGGGTCTACGTGCCTTGTCCCCCTAGCAAAATGCCTCCCCGATCGTCGCTTGTGTGGTCTGGGGGGGCACCCGTTCTTACAGCAAGAATGAGCCACGCTTTATCCGTGAGCATCATAAGTAACTGTGGCGAGGACCCGAAGTAGCTCTGGTATGGACGGTACCTGCCGAAAGTCAACCTCTTAAGCCTTACAAAGAATCCCAACACCTTTGACAGACGGTCCAGGCAAAGCAGCCAGGGGTCACGGCACAGGGACAAGCTCTTAGCTCCCAAAGTCTCAGGAATGCAACTAGCTTTGGGCTATCTCCCCACACTTCAGCCCCTGGGTGCCACGCGTGTGGAGGGCACCATGGCGGGAGGTCAACTCTAGCCCACCCAAGATAGTTCTAGAGCTTCCATGTTGTCCTCTCTCCTCACAAGGGATGCATGCTTCTCGAATCCCTTCTGGGTAGGATGGGCTTGCTTACTGGTCACTGGGAGGGGAAAAGTGTCCTCTTCAGGGAGAGGATGCTGAGGCCTTGAACAGGTTGTTGCTGCCTGTCTAGAGCTCCTTTTAATCCCTGCCCCTGCCTCGTGGCTAAAATCTCTTCTAAGTCTCACATCCTTCGGGGACCCCATTCTCCGGTGAGAGGCAGAAGAATTTGCAGAGAGCCAGCCTTTGAAGAAGCATCGCAATCCCTTCTCACGGGGCAGGCTCCTTTAGAAGTCATCCCTTGGGGTCTTTATTCAATCTGCTTTGGCTCCCCAGGAGGACATGGTCTTGTGGTTCATGGGGTCCTTCCCATCCAAGTCCAGTTGGGGGGTCGGGGGACATAAGCTGCTTTGGGCAAAAACTAATGACGAAGTTGTCTTACGTGTTAGTGCTCTGTGTTCGGACCTGTCCTCATTCCGGAAGCCGATCCTGAGGACCATGGTGAGTCGGGCAGGGGGAGAGAGAGAAGAGGCAGATGTGCAGTGTGTACCGTGGCAGGGCAGGGTGGGCGAGAGGGACAGGCAGGCTGCTGCCTTCCTTGGCCTGGATGTGCGGGACTCCAGGCATTTTCCCAGCGGGACCCTCAGCCCCCGGGCTCTTAGGAGCTTACACCTGCTCCATCCTCCGGACTATGGCTCAAACCCTAGTTTTACTTGTGCTCATCATGAATATTTGCAGTCTCCCACAGTGGGGAAGTTTCTACAGCTGCCCCCTGGCTGTTGCCTGAAGCGCTTGCAGAGGTGAACGGGAAGAAGACCCTAAAAGGACAAGTCAGAGAAGGCAGTAAGGGAGAAAACTGGGGCGGGGGGGGGATCTGGGGGAGGGGACTGGGGACACACACCACACCGCAAAACCTAGAGAGGAAAGATTCTGGCACCTCAATACTGGAAGAAAGGGGAAGAGGGAGCGGGAAAAGCATGTAGCCTGAGGATGCGATGGAGAGAAAGAGGAGCGAGACAATTCCATTACAGAACTGAAGACCCGAGCTCGGAAAAGTACAAAGGAAAGCATCACATGGAAAGATGATCGGCCAATCAGACTATGCAAGCTTGAATCAATAGTGGTGGCTGATGGGGCCTCTGGGAGAAGTCGGGGAATTACAGACTTGAAATGGTGTTGAACACGGACCACGGGATCCAGGTCTCTTCCCCAGCAGAAGTATTCTGCAGGCAGGAGCGAATCACCTGTCGTGCTGGCTAAGCTGATACACGTCTTTTTGTTTCCTCATGAAAATGAGTCAGTTGTAGAATCTGAGTGCTGGAAGGTGTTATGTAAAATAGTCGTTTGATCTTTCCATCTTTCCACTGTGGATTGTATTTCTCTTTTTATCTGGGGAAGACTAACAAAGCATATTTTAGGACGAGAAGAAGGAAAGATGCTCAAGGACCTGAACTTACAGGGGTCTTCTGGCATGGATGGGTGGGTTCAGGCTCCAGGACTCCTCTGACGGCTGGGGGTGGGCTGCAACACCACCTCCCCACTGGTCTCGGTCCCTCCCTGCACCCCCCCTCGCCCCGAAACTACCTGGCCCACCCAAAGGAGGCAGGGACGTGTGTCGGAGGACAAGCTTATATCAGGAGTAAGCGAGTAGGAGAGAATGACGTCACACGTGAAGAAGCCCAATGCATACGTCTGTCTATGTGTCTAGGTTATAGAGATGCCCACGAGTATGCTTCTTTTTTCACTAATGGCAGCACAGGGGGCAAAGCTGGGAGAAAGGCTCTCTGCAGATTCCAAAATGCTGGTGCGCGATGGGCTCTAGGAACAGAAAGCCAAGTGCCGACGGAAACTGAGAGCTCCCCAACTCTGCCAACAGGAGTCCTGTAGAAAAGGCAGTAAGAACGGAAGCGAGGGGTGCCCCCTGCACACCGACAGGCGCTGCACCCCATTCGATGGCTTTCCCCTCACGCCTTGGGAGGGGGGACGGGCTCCACTGGGTGGAGGAAGGAAGCCAGGGTGGGATGGAAGGCCCCCTCTTCGGGAGCGAGCCGGAAGTCAGCCTCTGGGGACTGAGGGTTCCCTCAGCCGGGAGTCTTCAGCTGACCCTGGGGGGTTGAGACAACGGGGCATGGAAATGACTGCACGTCCACGCCTCCCTCTTGCTCTCCTACACCACCAGCCTGGATGGCCACTGGAAAAGTCCGAGATGGGAATGAAGTCTCTCTTCCGAGTTCCTGGGGGTGATTGACGCAGTCATTGGGAACTCCTGGCTATTTTATTGCATTAGGAAACAAAACCATTAAAGCATTTAAGACAGCCCTTTTGTGTCCCTGCCAAGGAGATGAAGTGGATTCGCAACACCCGTTGCACCGCAGCCTTGGGTTCTTCACTCCACTGTGCCCTGTCTGGTCCATGTCTGCTTTCGGAGGAACAGCGTCGGCCCGCAGGGCATGCACATGCACGGTGAGCCGGGGACGCAGCGGCGGGGAAGGGCACTACTCCATGCCGCTCCGGAGGATCTGGTTGGCTGCGATCAGCATGACGCTTATGATGAAGGCCATGGCGAAGGCGCAGATGAGGCTCTTGCGGACGCAGGTCTGTCTGTTCTGCTTCTGGGAATGCACTGGGGTTGCAGGGGGAGCAGAGGGTAAGGAGACGGGGAGGGAGGGGAGGGGGAGAGAAGAGAGAAGCGACACAGTGAGACAGGCTGACCTCCTCCTCCGCAAGCCCAGTCCATAGGCTGAAGACTGGTCCCATCAACAAGCGTCTCGGGGACCGTTCTCGGAGCCTAAACATCACCTCTTCTGGCAGATGGTAGGAAACAGTAAAACTTCTGTAACAAACACCATGAGAGATGTGATGTTCAGAGGGAGGTATAAACTTCCAGATCCAGTGGAGTTATAGGGACTTTCTGAGTGAGCAAACACGTGACATTTGAGGGTTTCACAAAAGGCATCATCCAGGCATGACGGTGTCCCCCTCTGCAGAGCACCGGGCTCCCGTTTCTGAGTCACCTGCTGCAGGCACAGCCAGGTTCAGATGCTTCCCTACCTGTTGGCACCGGGCTGGAAGCAACTTGCCCCCTCCCCAGAATTGTTCTTGGTGGCCGCTGGTCGAAATGACTCTAAATGACTTCTGGTATGATTTCAGGTATGCGCACCAGTGGTTCTAGAGAGGGGTTCCTAGGCAAGCAGCATCCACGTCACTGGGAGCTTGTTAAAAATGCAGGTGCTCAGGCCAGACCCCATGCCCAATCTACTGAATCAGAAACTCCAGGGACGGGGCCGGCGATCTATGTTTAACTAAGTGATTCTGGTGAAATCTGAGAAGTGGAGACCACGTGCTCTGTGGACGGGACCAGTGTGAAGGAGGGAGGGAGGCACAAAACCCTCTCAGACGTTCCAGAGACATGGTGTCCCTGCCCCCATGGCCTGTTGCACCGGGGAGGTCTGACCTTGGGCCCTAGGGTTGTGTTCTCTTAATCCTTTTTGTTGGGCTTGGTCTTGTGCCCCCATTTTCATAAGGCCCTTGAGAAACCATTAATAGGTCTGAATCAGTGGGGAAGTAATTGGGACTAGACACAGGGAAATGGCAATCACCAGAAAGAAACGCTTTGATAAAGTGTGTTGAGGAAGAACAGGTCTCTTTTCCAGGAATTGCTTTCCCCTGCCAGAACTTCTTTTCCTTCTTTTTCTTCTGTTAGTCTACACCTCCTCCCTTTCCCATCTGTCTGTCCATCCGTGATCTTTGCACACAATTTACCACTTAGCATATGGCCGAAATCTGTGCCCTGGAGGCAGGTGGGAAGCTATGGACACCAGGGCTACTCACTGGACCAGCAGTATGGCACCATCTGGGAGTTTGACGTACATGTGAATTCTTGGGTCCCACTGCAGAATTACTGAATCAAAATCTCTGGGGCCGGAGGCCAGGAATTCATGAATTAATAAGTTCTCCAGGTGATTAGGGAATTGCTGGGCCCCAGCGCCAGGATTTTCGATTCAGTAGGACTAGGTGGTGCCAAAGAATCTGATGGAGTTTGAGTTGCTGGGGGACCTGACAGGTGTCTCTGTGTGTGTGTGTGTGTGTGTGTGTGTGTGTGTGTTAGGGACATAGGGTGGGGAGTTTTGGGAAAGATGGTTCTTTAGATTCAGATGTTAAGAAACCCAATGCCAGGACAGAAGAACATTTTTAAATCACCTTCCATTTTGAAAAGGGGTCCTTCAACCTTTGCAAACCTCCAGCGGAGGGAAAGTGTTGTTCTTTAGGTCAGATTATGGCCCAGAGAAGGTTGGGGGCGGTTGGGGGCAGGGGTAGAAATGCAATTTCCTTCATATTACTCGCAGTCTCTCTCTGTAGGAAAGAAGACTGACAAAAGAGCAAGGTCAAGTTAGGGTCCACATGTCTTTATTTATTTATTTTTTTAAAGATTTTGTTTATTTGACAGAGAGAGACACAGCGAGAGAGGGAACACAAGCAGGGGGAGTGGGAGAGGGAGAAGCAGGCTTCCCGCTGAGCAGGGAGCCCGACGTGGGGCTCGATCCCAGGACCCTGGGATCATGACCTGAGCTAAAGGCAGACACTTAATGACTGAGCCATCCAGGCGCCCCGGGTCCACATGCCTTTAAAGAACCTAAAAATGGTTCAATTTCAAGTACGTCTTCCCTTTGACATTCAGTGGCTTCTCTGAGATCCCTGGAAATAACAGGGAAGTAGTAGGAAGCCCGTTGATGTTTCCAAGGACAAACAGAGCTTTCCCTGAGGGAAGGGGTCTCGGGGGGCTTGTCAAGGGGTTTCTAAAAATTGTATCAACCAGGAAGGTTTCTCCAGCAAGCCACATTTCACAGAGAGCCAGGGCCCCCTGGTGCAGCCTTGGGCTCCCTCTCCAATACTTGGTTATTTCTGCCACCATCTCTTAGATGCTGTCTTGTTATCTTTAATCCTGGATCCACTGGGCTTCTGCTTCCCTTGGGTGATTGGGAGTATTTTCGGTTCAGTTCTCAACTTGCTGATCATGTCTGGGTCTTAGAATCTTACAAATTCTTACCTGGAGAAAGAAAATTTCCTTGGTGCAGAGATGTGCCTCCCCCCACCCCCTGCCTCCAGGAGTGGGCTAGATGTAAAAAGGTGCCAGCCCTCAGGAAGGGAAAAAGATGTGGTGTTTAAGAACGAAAAGGACCAAAGCAGAAAATAAAATGAGGATACGGAAGTAGCGTATCTAACACTTTCTGAGGACTGGCTAATTTATTCTGGGCAGCTCCTCAGCATAAAAATGCTTCCGAAGGCAGTCATCTACCTTTCTGTCCTGAGGGCTGGTGAAGGCCAAGAAAAATTGTGTGATTACGCAGAGGGAGAAATTTTTGGCCGAAGCCCTTCTCTGTGAAGGACACTCGGAAAACAAGGTTACAGGCAACAGGATTATCCCCCTGGAGAGCGGCTGCACCTTTGATCTGAAAGTCCTTCAAGGCAGTGGGAGGGGAGAGATAAGGAAGGAGGAAAGGCCTGGAGAACCTAACAGTTTGTACTTGGGGCCATGCAAGTCGGAATCCAGACCAAAGTCCGGTAAACAGAGTGGTGCTTGCAGCTCCTTCCATAGCTCTGAAATACATCACCATTTGAGCCCATAATTCAGCCTCTGTGTCTCCACGAGAGTCCTTTGATCTCCAGTTCTCACACTGTCATCAGCGGTGTGGCAGAGTACAAAAGTAATGACCTCGGAGCCAGACCCAAGTCTGAAACATGGTTATCCCACATCTTGGCTGTGTGACCTTGGGCAAGCGAATTTCCTCCAGCCTCAGTCAATTCCCTCATCTATAAAATGGGACCAATAAAACCTACCTCGTTGTGAAGATTAAGGATATATTGTTTGCGCCCAGTGAATGCCAATTCTCGTTTGTGAACCTTTTAAAAACTCCCCTTTGCTTCTCGAATACCGCCGGAGTGGGCTAGGCATGCACTGTGTGCTTTATATACGTCATCGTAAAATTACATAGTGGCCGTCCTGGTGAACTGGGTGTGTGACCGTCACTTGACAGGTGAGCGGTCTGAAGCTTGGAGAAGTGGGGTCCAAGTTCATTTGGCAAATGGTGGAGGTGGGGCTGGAGCTGGGTCTGATTCTAAGACCCAGGTTCAAAACCTCTGCACAAACTCTGTCTTCTCGATCTTTTGCTTAGCAACAGAAAGCTCAGCAATAGAAAGATCCAAAGAGAAGGCATTTCAAACACTTGATGTGGCTGACGGAGTACAACCCGTCAGGAATTAATGTGTTTGTTGATAATCATTTAAGGCCTGTCTTTGGCTAGCATGTATTTATTTGCACTGCGCTATAGTTTGGGGGTTTTATTTATTCTCCGTGTCTACGCTTTGCTTCCTCAACAAGGCTTACAGGTCAGCCTAGGATGAACTGTGAGCCCAGGTTAGGGCTTCTCTTAACCACCACTTAGGAGCGGCCCCGGGCAAGGGACCGAACTTCTCTGAGCCTCAGTTTCTCTCTCTGTAGAAGGAGCTAGTGATAACGTTCTGCTGGTGTCAAGAATTATCTCAAAGATGAATGAGCTAATAAAAAAAAAAAAAAGTGGAAGCTACGGCCAACTGTGAATTGCTAAAGAAATGCAAGACTTGATCCTATCCCCTCAGGGCTGGAGAAAAGTTCTGCTCATTTTTCTCCTGTTCCCAGCAGCCTCCAGCTTGGGAATGCACATCCAAGCACTGCTCCCAGACCTTTGCTGTGGTCCCTTCCCTCATTAACTCGTCCCGGGCAGCAGCGAGACTCACCCCCCTACAGCAGCACTTAGGATGTACCACCCATGCCTGCAACCTTTCTGCAAAGGCCTTCTTGCTGGGGATGTGCGTTCCATCCAGCTCCGAAGCTCAGCAGGGAGATCAACAGACCACCTCCGATCCCTTTCCCACCTCTGCTCCTTGAGCCACTAAGCCTCCCTGTCCAGCAACCTCTGCTTCTGGTCATCCCCACACGAGACTCTGCTTGCTGGCCAAGACTCAAGGCGCCCGTTCTCGCTGCTAGGGGTGCCCGCTGACCTCCCCTCTCATTTCTTCTGGGCCTACCCCAAACTTTACTTTCCTAGGAGGCTTCTCCTGAACATCTTGCTCTCAAAGAGCCTGATCCTTTAACATTTTTGTAATGGTCTAACTCTCAATATTTATTTATTCCTCATTGAGATGGCATTCCCATACCAGCACATTCACCCTTCACAGGTGACCAATTCAGCGGCATTTAGTACATTCGCGAGGCTGTGAAAGCATCACCACTACCTAATTCCAGAATGTTCTCATCACCCTAAAAGGAGACCCCACGCGCATTAGAAGTCATGCTCCGTTCCTGCCTGGCAGTCACCAATCTACTTCCTGTCTCTGCGCAAATACCTAGTCCGGGCATTGCAAATACATTATACAACATGTAGCCTTTTGTGTCTTCTTCTTCCACTTAGCCAGGCCCATGCATGCTGTAGGGAGCATTCCTACTTTCTTTCTTTCTGTGCCACATTTTGTTTATCCATTCACCTGCTGATGGACGTTGGGGTTGTGTCCATTTTTTGGCTGTTAATGGGTAATGCTGCTAAAACACTCGTATCCACGTTTTGGCTCTCTTGGGGACAGATCTAG